CTTTCCTAACGTTTGTTTTTTGACGACTTCATAAAGGGTTATCTTTTATGTAAGGTATTTAAACTACTAACTTGGGCTATGGATTATGAAGGGTGTTATGTTGTATGCATGTTTGTAGTTAATTATTCCTACTATGAATCTGATTATTGGGCTATTTGTTAAACAAGTTATATAAATTTTTTTTTTTTTTTATCTAATAATTCAAACCAAAAATCTGATGATGCCTACAGAAAACCGTTAACTCGTGTCTATTATTTAATAGATTATTATTATTTAGAAGTTTAATAATGTGCAACTTTTCATGGAGGCACAAAGGGCATGGGTCATCCCAAGCTTTACATATTCTAGCCTTGTCAATAATTTTCCATTTAACTTTTGGTGACTTATTTGTTTCCTTCAGGTGCCAAAAATATTTTGATAGTGAAGTCTGATTTCTTTTGTTTATATTATTAAAGGAGCACTTATGCGGCCTCCATCTATCTTTAAAATTATTCTTCGTGGACCCAATGTATATCATATTAGTGCTAGGGCTCTCTGTGGATGAAATAGTACATTGGTATACCACAGAATTAATACAACATTTATTTTCTAATGGGCAGTCTTCTGGGTTTCTACAGTTACATAATTTTTCCCTTTTATCGTCTGATTTAAGTGCAGAGTTTTTATTAATACTGTTTTGGCATGGGGGTTGTTCAAGATCTTATTATTGTTTTTTTTATTATGCGTTCAAGATTATCAGAGCAGCTGTAGCTCAATTTTAGGGTGTTCTTATTGAATATATTACTAAGCTTACTATTGGTGGGGAAGTGTTTATTAATTAGAGCTAAGAATTTCTGTCCTAGTTTAATACTAACTCTTTGGTTGAACGGAGGGTGTACCAAATGATATTTCTTTTTCTGTTTTTTTTCTATGTCCAGTGTAATTTTCTCTGTAGTTAATGTTAGCAATATATATATATATATATATATATATATATATATATATATATATATATATATATATATATATATAATTGTTTATATATATATGCGTTACTTATTAGAAAGCGCTCAATATCAGAGATAGAGCGAACATATTTGGTTGGATTGATGTGAGTTTGACCCTGGGTTTCAGGCTTTAGCGATCGTCAGTTGTCTGACGATCGCAAAAAGCGTGAAACCCTGGAATTTAAAATAATATATATATATATATATATATATATATATATATATATATATATATATATGACAATAAATATTCAATATCAGAGATAGAGCGAACATATTTGGTTGGATTGATGTGAGTTTGTGACCCTGAGTTTCAGGCTTTAGCGATCGTCAGTTGTCTGACGATGTGTCAAAAGCTGAAACCAATGTCACCTAAATGAACATATATATATATATATATATATATATATATATATATATATATATATATATATATATATATATATATATGACAATAATATTGCACTTTTTGTTATTACTGCTTCTTGAAATAATTAAAAGAAAGTCTTAAGTTTTGGACTGAATAAATACACGAAATAATAATTATAAAAAATCACCTTGCGACCGAAAAAGAAACGGTTGTTGCCGAGAGAACAAAATTAATCTATAGACGACAAGAATCTCCTTAACCAATTATAATATTTGTACATGGTCTACAGAATGGATTTTGATATTGCGAATTTGAGAAACTTAGACAAACGGAACAAACCCCAGTAGAGGGAAACTGATACAATTAAGATTAATCGAGGGGATGTATAATGGAGCATGTGGATACAAAATGCTTGAATAACTACAGCTAGGCAACATGTCTCCCAATGCTTGTGTTGAATTTATATTATATTGTATTTCAACAATTCTGAGATTAGCCAAGGAGAATTGGAAATTGCAGATACATACCAAGAGAATAAAACGAATAAGATATTTAGATGTAGATTTTGTACTTTTGAGCACGAGTGGGAACAAAGAGAAATGTCCAATATTTGGAAAATTATGCAGTAACTGCACGAAAGAGAATCATTTTATGTCTGTGTGCAAATTTAACATAAGTGTTGAACAACTTCAACAAAACGCAGGCAGCTACTCGGATGTTTTGTCGATAAAAATAAAAGAAAAATATGATAAAAAATCAAACTGAATAAGATATAAAGATGGATGCTGGCAGTGAATTTATATTGATTCCATGAAAACTTTTGGAAAATGAGATAAAAATGTACTGATTTAACAGGTTGATCGTTACTTGGGTGCTATCAGCGAAAGAGAATTAAATTCAAAAGCCGACTTTGTGTTGAATAGGCTAAGATGTGCAGGCATTATTATTGCTAGGATTTTATTATTATTATTATTATTATTATTATTATTATTATTAATAATAATAATAATAAATGAAATAATATTAATGAAAATGATAAATAAAAGAAACTCAAACAATAACATAAAATCTTTATATAAAATAAATTAAATAAAAATCAAAAATTATAAAATTACTCCAAGTATGCGACAAAATCTGTTCCTGCCGAAAATACGGACATCCCATCAATTCAATTCATTCACCACAAACCTTGGTACAGGCAACACGTGTCCAACCTCTCTCTGTAATATGGCGTGTAATACTACGAAGCAAATTCTCCCTTTTATCATATGCACCATGAAACAATCTTAACCTAAAAATGTACACACCAATACACACAATAAAAATATAAATAAATTGTGTGAAATTAACATACAATTTACCATACTTTTCTTGTTATTTGTGTTCTATTTCCTGTCAAGTATGTTTTTATCTCCGTGAACACAAGGCAGCTATCATGTGAGTGAAGCCCTATATTATCATTAAAAAGAAATACGTTCATATTTGTAACAGAATCTCGTTTCTGTGATACCCGATCTCGAAGAAAGGTTTTTCACTTGGCCATCTTATAAAACAGAAAATAATAAATGCGTTTGTTCCTCTTGGGAAAAAGGAATTGGAATCTTTATTAGGTTTAGTCAATAGAAGACATATACTAAGGTATTCAGAGTTGAGATATTTGATAACTTGTGTAAAAAAATATGGAGCCCCCTGTGCCCCCGACCTTCATCAGGTGTATAATGATCCGAGTAACCCACAGAGAATTTTTAACTAAACCATTTGTTTAATCTACAAGGATAGATTCTTCTCATTACATTGCTCATATCGACGAATATCTTGAGATATCCCTAGTCATGAGCTGTAGAACGAGAACAGTCAGAATTCCCTGTACTTTATCCGGATCGCTATACAAAGATAAAGACCTGATAAAGACCGTAGGGAACAAAGGCTGAAACATTGTGATAACAACAACGAAGACGCGAAAAATAGTCCGAATGTAAATGATGTAAATAATAACTTCTTATCACTAAAATTCAGACTAAAATTTTTTTACATTAACTGCAAATGCAAGCGGGCATTCTGCATTTGGAATATTATTCTATGAAGATCACCCATTGAGGTACTTGTTCAAATGTTTAATATCTGACGAATTCATTTATTCAAATATAGATAAAGCGGATTTGTCTGCTGTTTGGATAACTACTCAAGCTCGTTACTTCCTACTAGGTAGAATATTTCTACACAAACGGGATCATAGGTTTTTAGGATTTTTATTTTAATTCCAAGAAAGGAATTACCAAACGTTACATCATGAATATTAAGATGGGCTATACAACTAATGGCTTGTGTTTTTGATATAGAGAATATTAAAGGAAACTCAATTTCTCGTGTCGATGCGTTGACAAAACTAAGGTTTACGGAAGAAAATAATTTAGATAGATTTTTACACTAGAAGAAAACTGAAGTTTTATCTATAGATCAACTAACCTCAGAAGTTTACATAATCCAATACTGACTAGAAGAAATATACAGAATTATTTTTTTTTTTTACGAAAGTCAGAAGATCTTGTCCAGAAATTAAATGTAAATTAACCACGGAAATTGGCGCAATATGTAATGAGGATTTAATTTTTCAACAACCACCAACCATGAGACAAGCGTCATAAGAAATGTTCATGTACAACTGTGGAATTGCAGCCAAAGAGAAGCGATTACTATTTAATGGATAGGGGGGTCAAGTATTCACGTGATCTTGAGGTTTACATCCCCAAATGCCCCAAATGTATAGAAAAATAAAAAAAAATCTTCATGGCTTAAAGAATTAGAACCTTGGAGTCGCTTTAAAATGGACAATGCTTACATTAATGTTGCCTAACTTTTACTTATTTTAGTGAATTATATTTCGGTGTAGCCTGATCTAAAAAAAACATTTGATAATTTTTTAAAATCCACTGCAGAAAAAAAAACAAAAAAAAACACAAAAAACTCATAGTTACGATATTTAATCTCGGGTTTCTCACAGAAAGAGTTTCTGTTTGAGGCAAATATTGCCTAAGTAACATAAGCAGTACCAAAGTACCAGATAACGGTCCAGAATATTGTGATGAAAATCTCTGTTGCTGGTTGAACTCTATTGATTGTATCTCATATAAAACAGTCCCTTACCTCCCACAATCGAATGAGACTGTAAAGGGAAAGATGCAGGCAGTAAAAATAGGATTGAAAGTAGTTTTTTCACCGACATTTAGAGCTTTATGCCTCGACTACTACGAAGATATCGTACTATTCCACACACTGGTTGAAAGCCATTCTTTAATTCGCGCTCCTTTGACGATGTCTTATTTCACAAACGAACATATTTATAAAAGAGATAATTGAATCATGAATGAGCCTAGATCATAAAACAGGTCACAACGATAATAAAAATATGGGAAACAGCAGAATATGTTGATCAAATTTGATCAAGAATGAATATCCAGAAGTAATGATCGTGACCAAGAACAAAATGTCATGGAACAAAGCCTCAGTTTACAAATTATACGCCTCCCTGATAGTATGGACCTAGATGATAAAAGATATGCACTATTGACCAACGAAGACGTTATTATGAGTGATGGCCAGCCGTTGACAATAGCGAACGATCGATCTTGATCCATCAAAATCTTATGAGGCATCGAACCTCTGCGTTTGTGGTATGTTAATTTAAATATTAAATCGGTGGCTACAAATAGAAATAACAATAGTCAGAATATCAGTTTGTGTGAACACTTACTTGATTATGGGATACAATACTAGACATTACAACACGAGGTGGATAAATTTGGTGTCAAGTCATGTTTTAGGTGTCAAAGAAGCAGTTTCAGACAATTACTAAAGTAGTGAAGGATCATATAAATTCAAAATGATTAACAATAAGGCACCAAATCATATTTTGAGCTATAAAATTAATTTTGCATATCGTCAAATATTTTGGAGTCAAACAGTTGAGTAAAACCATGTAAAAGACCAGTGACGAATTGCTTCATGGTAAAATTCAATATGGCTGTCAATGTACGCTAAATTGTCTTCAGAAAAGACTACTTTTAGAATAGAGCTGATAATTTTGATCTCCAGCTCTATAACTCAATTTATCAGCAATATTATAAGTGTAGTCTGTTCCCAAACGATATTGATGTATATTTTGGTTTCTTAGACTCCAGTTCTATATGTATGTGTAATTGATGTGGGAAGTGAGATTGGCGATCCGCGTTCAAATTAGTTTCGCGCAAATGACCTTGAGGAAATGTATGAATCCATCTATCCCCCCCACCTGTAGCTATTGGTTAAATATAAGAACAGACTGAGCACTGCAGCTATGATTGGCAACCAGTCTAAGAGATTCGGAATTTTAGGTAACTCTAAATTTTAAATCATTTGATGTGTGGTTAGTAATTCGACACGTTACAATCTATTTGCTACAAATGTATCCATTAGCAGTGTTTTAGCTTTGGACTTACGAAGGCGGTGTTAAAGATACTAGCGAAAAATAGTTCTCTCTTATCTAAACATAATGAATAGTGATTTATTAAGCACAGCTTAGACGTGGCACAAGGACAAATTATAGTGTATCCAGTGAAGATCGAACTCACTACTCAGTCGTAATTGATCTTTCGAGGCAAGTTTGCTAACAATTGCACCACATCGAAGTGCCCCTAATCATGAAGATAATGCGATGTTCATACAGTTACTGAAATCATATCAGAGTAAATAATACGTTAAATTCTGGGGTGGTGATTGCAAGCAATCTATAACCTTACATGCAAAACAATAATTGCCCAGACATCAGATTTTTCAAGCTAAATTGAATATAAAGGAAGCTAAAACAGATTATATTATAATAGCGGTTAACTTGAACGTGATCTTGAATTTCTCAAAAGACTCAAAGATGTTTAAGTTCACTCGGCACATTCTGAAAGCGAACACATTTAACTTTACAAATCAGTCAGAAAAGAAACTCAAAATTCCCAGTTGAGTCTGAAAAGCCTAATTTCATTGCAACATTATAATAAACACTGAAGACATTGCAGCTAGTCAGCGGAATAAAAAAAAGAAAGAATATAAAAAAATTTAAGCGCACAGAAGATAATATAAATTCTACATTTTTTAATAATATTGTGTAAAAAAAGATATAAAAAAGAGTAGAAGCATCTAGTAGAAAAGTATTAAAGAAAGGAAATTCGAATATATGTGTTATAATATTATGCCTAGCTTAGACTACTTGCCGCAACGTCATTAGAATTCTCTCCGACTGACTCCAACGGACTTGTATTTACCCAGTCTCACCAAAGAGACGAGATGTGATAGAAGGTGGAATTTAGTGTGGGGAGCCCGAGCACGTACACTCGGGCCAAAGGTCAAAGCCCTGACTGAGACGTATCCTGCCCAAAGACAGAGAACTAAACAATCGCGATCCAGTCAGCGAATTGCCTGACTCCGACGCACCTGAATTCTTTATTTAAGGTGTCTTGCTTACTTCATTTGTGTTACCGAGGGTGCCTTATTTAGTCCACTACAATATCTCAGTTGTTTTGTAATAGTCGGAAGTCAGTACTTTCTTTACGTGAATTGTGTCATCGATCTTCGACACATGACATAGGTCAATAGGTCGATATTCCAACACAGTTTTGAAAAGATGTTGTAAAGTTCTCGGCTCAACCAAGAAATGATTTGAAAAAAAATATGCTGTTCCCAGACATGTTTTTTAATCAGTTCACTCCCAAAAGCAAGGCAACAAAGCCGCTAAGACGCAAGCGGTTACGGAATGTGAGAGAATATAAGATAAAGAAAACATTAAAGAGAGAACAATAAAAGGAGTCTAACTGAAAACTTTTCAGCGCTTTCTAGTATTAAATGAATTTAGATATGAAATTTTCATTACATAATGTTAAATCTCTAGGATTAATATTCAACAGTGTATTTAGCGCATTGGCACAGAAGGATTGTATAAAATAGACTCTTTATCGATCTTTAAGCTGTGGGTTAATCAAAAAATCTTTGTATAATTATAAGGAAGTTTTTAATATAATAATCATTGTCACTGTTTGGTCTGTTAATTTGTTACTTTTGGAAACAGAAAGTCCTTAAAGGCTCTACTGTATCTGTGTGTTCGTATCTACTTCTGTTCCTGGTGATGCCTCAGTCGTAGTATAACAGATTTCTTTTTTTCTCATTTAAGAGAAAACAAACTAACATGTTTATTATAATTTTTATTACATTTTAACGAGGCATTAAAGTTTAAAATCTATCGTCGCTTTGATGTCATTTTTCTATCTTGGTCGAATTTCTTTCCAGTGTTGCAACAGCATACTTTTAAAATTTTATTTTAAGTAAAACACAGGAAAAGACATTGAGAAAACATTAGAATTAACCAAGTGGACTAATATTTTTTTACAGATTAAAACAATTGTTATTTTTTATTTATTTGTTTGTAGGCTGGTTGGATTTTTATAAACGTTAAAGTAAACAGATATCTAAAAATAACTTAATTATTACCGTGTTTTGCTGCTTATAAGACGTATTTTTTTTATAAAATATCTCCAAAAACTACTCTGCGTCCTATAAATCGAAGGTGGGTAACGGGAGTTATAAGTTTGGGGTGTGGGGTTTGAGCGTCAGCTCCTCAGTTACATGCCATTGAAAATAAAATAAGTCCTGTGTTTCAAAACTAAATTAAGTGTTTTGAGAGAAGCTATTTATGTAGTTGAGATACTGGGATATTGACAGAAAACAAAATTCCTGCGATAGTAACAGATGCTTAAGTAACACCTTCCTTTCCTTCCTTCCTTCTTTTACTTCCTTCCTTCCTTCCTTCTTTTCCTTTCCTTCCTTCTTTTCCTTTCCTTCCTTACTTCCTCCTTTCCTTCCTTTAATTCATTCCTTCCTTTCCTTCTTTCCTTTTTTCCTTCCTTTTCCTTCCTTCTTCTTTTCCTTCCTTCCTTCTTTCTCCTTCCTTCCTTTTTCCTTCCTTTTTCCTTCCTTCTTCCTTTTTCCTTCCTTCCTTCTTTTCCTTCCCTTTTCCTTCCTTTTCCTTCCTTCTTTTCCTTCTTTCCTTCTTTTTTCTTCTTCCTTCCTTTCCTTCTTCCTTCTTTTCTTCCTTCTTTTCCTTCCTTCCTTCCTTCTTTCCTTCCTTCCTTCTTTTTCCTTCTTTTTCTTCCTTCCTTCCTTCTTCCCTTCCTTTTCCTTCTTCCTTCTTTTCCTTCCTTTTCTTCTTTTCCTTCTTTTCCTTCCTTCCTTTCCTTCCTTCCTTCCTTCCTTCTTCCTTTTTTCCTTCCTTCCTTTCCTTCCTTCCTTTCCTTCCTTCCTTCTTTTCCTTCCTTCTTTTCCTTCCTTCTTTTCCTTTCCTTCCTTCAATTCATTCCTTCCTTTCCTCCCTTCCTTCCTTTCCTTCCTTCTTTTCCTTCTTTCCTTCTTTTTTCCTTCCTTCTTTTCCTTCTTCTTCCTTTCCTTTCTTCCTTTTTCCTTTTCCTTCCTTTTCCTTTTTCCCTTTTTCCTTCCTTTCCTTCCTTCCTTTTCTTTTCCTTTTCCTTCTTTTCCTTCCTTCTTTTCCTTCCTTCCTTCCTTCTTTTCCAATTCATTCTTCTTCCTTTCCTTCCTTCCTTCTACTTCCTTCCTTCCTTCCTTCTTTTTTCCTTCTTTCCTTCTTTTCCTTCCTTCCTTCTTTTCCTTTCCTTCCTTCTTTTTCCTTCCTTCTTTTCCTTTTCTTCCTTTTTCCTTCCTTTCCTTTTTCCTTCCTTCCTTTCCTTCCTTCCTTCCTTTTCCTTTTCCTTCTTTTCCTTCCTTCCTGACTGGTCACAAACCAGCATGGAAAGAGAAAACCGGACGAGGCCATGCCGAAGGGCAGACTCTCATCCGGGGAGATAGACAGACCCGAACCCATTTATGCGGGATTTACGGGGAATTTTTGGCCGAGCCTACGGACTCGGATGACCCACGTTGAACTTAGCCTTGTGCCTCGTGGGTGAGGGGCTAGTAAATATTGACTTGCTGGGATCTGTTGAGTACAACTCCGACTTACTCAAGAACTATTTGACCTTCCAAACAGCGGCACTCACTAGTGGTTTTACAATAACCTTTATTTCGTTATCCACCATGTTGTTCCAGTGATATTCCTATTAGCACGGAATATAACAGTTGGGCAAATATTTATGTTAATGTTCGTTGAAAGTTATAAAGTCTTTCTTCTTAAAGGTGTTTATCAGAAGGTTAGATTTCTCAAGTCCACTAACTGCTATTGTTCTTTCTAGTCCTGATGGGAATTTCCTTTCAAGTTTTTTGTTTAATGCCATGTGGAAATTCAACAGCTTGATTATACCATTATGTTCTACAAATTTTTGTTTTTGCTACTGGAAGTCTTCAAGTGATGTAGTTTTTGTCATTTGATAAAGCACCTTGTAATTTTGTAGCGCCAGTCTATAAGGTCTGACGAAGGATTGTCTTCTTTAAAAATTAAAGTATTCATGTGTTTGAAATCGTTTTAATAATTAATCTGAGAAGACGTTTGTATATAGGCAATAGTTTAGATATTGCTGAACTAGTTAATCACCATCCATGACATCCATATGTGTCAAGATCTGACAACGAAAGATACCTTTCCAAAAGCTAAGCAAAGTATGAAAAAAACAGGAAAATTTCGACAGAAACTAATTAAAGAGTACGTAACTGTTATGGAATACCATTTCTTTTGTATGCCAGTGAATTTTGGATAATATCCTCACACATGAAGAAAGAAAAAAACTGGAAGCAACATACATGTTGTTCTACAGGAGGATGCTGGGGATATCATGGATTGAAGATGTGAGCAATGAAGTTTTAGAGAAAATAGAAACAAAAACGAGACTTATAAAAAGAAACAGTTGAAAGCACATAATGAGGAAAGAAGGCTTAGAAAATTTTACGCTCACATAACATATTGAAAGCAAGACGAAAACAGAGAATAACCTACCTAACATGTTTGTGCAAATGGTTTAGGAGAGATAGCAAAATGACAAAAATTTATTAAGAGCTAGAAAGGACGGGAAATTGTGGAGAGCCATGATCCCCAACGTACCGAAGGGGCATGACAGATAAAGGAAGAAGTATGTTAAAATGTTGGACAAAAGCTTCAAACGATTTCAATTTTAAAGACGACGATCTTTCATCAGGCCCTATAATATATCATCTTTATACAACCGTTTTCTGAGCTTATTGATTAAAAATAGCTTCAAACAAATAAATCCTTTAAATTTTCAAGACTATGATCCGTCATCAAGCCCTATAGACTGGCGCTACAAAATCACAAGGCAATCAAATATTTTATTAAAATTTTATCAAATAATAGAAACTGCTCATGTAACTAGAAAAGAAAATACATTTTAGATGTTCATACTAACAAATTGTTGTAACGTAGAAAGGCTTACTGAATGAGAAATAAGCAAAAGGGAGGCTGGAAATGAAATGATAATCTTTATAGTATCAACAAAATACAATACTCGCCAGCGGTGTGAAGTAGGTAAACCACTGCTAGTGGTGAACTACTTAGACGACATATTACCTCCATTTACAATAGTTTCAAACGTATTTATGAGGATTGGGGTATACCCATTAGTGTTCATAGGTACGGTATGTAACACAAATACAAAAAGTTTAAAAGGAAATTCACATCAATATCTGAAAGAGGTATAATATTTAGTGAACTTCAAGTAATAAGAATGTCAGATTAAACCAAATAAATCCATTAATTCGTATATATACAGCATCAAAATATCTGCCATCACCACCAGTAACACCAAACCTAATGATTTTATTACCACTTAGGCAGAAAGTCACTTTTGCTAACAGTCGAAAAAACGAGAGGTCTAATTTGCTAAAAAAAAAACTTTTTAAAAAGATTTGGTAAATTTCAATTTAGAATAATGCTAACTGTTCGGTCAATAAATACGGAATTTTTCTTGTACGAAAACGACTAATTTTACCCGTTGCCATATCGATTTACTTGTTCTAAAGAAAGAAAACACACACAATATATCTACACATATGTCGACCACCATAACGCTATAAATATATGCAGAAGTACACAAAATACGCATAGACATAGAAACGGACATTTCTTTATTCCTGTATCAACTAGTTATATGCAACCGTAAGTTATAAGTTTCTTCTCTCTCACTGTTCTCTTGTGGAACTCTTTTCCGGTTTTTTGCTTCCTAGTCACCTACAATCACTTCAAAATTTTAAATGCATCATCGATCGCCATTTCTGTCTCCCTTGACTCGTATTCTTTATTGTCTTTTTTTCCTTATTAAAGTCTTCTCATTTCTCTTTCACTCTCAGTAACTCCTCGCGTCTTAGTAACATAATCGCCTTGCTTAGAATAATTAAAACGTGGTTCTTTTGCGTTATAGAAAATCACTAACAATATTCTTAGCAGTTAAATCATTTGTGCCTACTATTATTAATGGCACTTCGGTTATTTCATTTTCGCCGGACAAAGCCGAACACTTTGCATTGAACTTCGCCTCAAAGTCTACACTAGACGACCAGGGTCATCCCCTTTCTGACTTCCCTGCTCTCATAGACCACAAGCTTCGCGACCTCATTATATCGGCTCGGGAAGTTTCTAGACTCATCCAAAATATTGACTCACTGAAAGGCTACTAGTTCGGATAAAATCTCTCTGTTGTTCTACTTGAGAAGCATAGGCCTGAATTATCTTAAATCTTGGCAAAGTTGTGTAATCACTACCTGAAAGCTAGCAGCACCGCCCATCCGTCTCATTGGTGTCATCAGCAAACTTTAAGTCTAGCAGACTCCCCTCACCCGAAATAACATCCTGAGGGACAAGCAGTATGGGTTTCGCTCCTGTAGGTTAATTGCTATCTTGAAATTACATCCATAATCAGTGAAACGCTTGATGCTAAGAGCGATTCTTTTAGCTGAAAATTTTGACAAATTTTCGCATAGGGATTTGCTACATAAACACTCGAGCTATGGCATCTCTGGAAGAGTCTACACAACCATCAACTCCTTTTCTTTATGGTAGGTCAATACCTAAAGAATTAAGGCAGCATTATTTCATAATCACTGATCGGACCAAGTGTTTTCTTCATTCACGTCATACCTTTGCACTGTCAACAAAGCTCCGTGCTTTGAGTATCTACTGGGAATCATGTTCATTTCAGATCTCAACTGAAACTCAATATATACGATCCATTGCTTACGATACTTGATAAATTACTGTTTTAGAAAGTAGCTGACTCATTCTCCCATTCTTTATCTTTACAAGAGTCAGATTAGACCAAAAATGGTGTATTGTCTCCATATCTGAGTGGGAGCTGCCCAAATCTTACTTTCCAGTTTTGACAGTATTCAAAATCTTTTACGCAGGTTTTTTGTGTAATCGATTTCTATTTTTGCCTAAGATTAGGTCATTTGCAGTGGTGTGCAGTAATATGAATCTATTTTCGGGTGTATGCTGAAAATTGTTTGGGCTTGAAAAATATTGCGTCATCCGTGTTTGCATCAGATTTTTTTCATGCCCAGACATTATTGTCTAGACTGTCGATTAGTTGTCCTACGTCCTTATTCTGTGAGGGACTTTACTCCAAGGAAGCGTAGGAAAATTGTAACGCTGAACGAAGACACTGGCAAGCCTTAAATCAAAATACTATATACTGGCCCGGAAACTCTCCTGATTTAAATCTAATCGAGTATCTGTGGTCAATCTGCAAGGAATGACTTCGTGGAATGGACATACTATGTACTAACATGTTCGCCGTGTAAGGTTTCATTGAATAATACGAAAAATAAATAAATTATTCGTTTTGTTTCAATTAATTTGCAAAAGGGTGTATTTCCATTCTACAGCCTCTTTCCCTACAAACACAAAGTTGCAAGTGCATCGATACTCTGTCGCAAATTCATTCTTTATCTCCACCAGTTATGACCTATACTGCTAGGAAACACCATGCAAATTTTATTGTGGCTATTTATGTGCACACCTATAGCACAAATGTTAAAAAATAAACAATAATATTTTTGCTCTTGTATATAAATACTTGTCACAAAATAAAATCGATACATTTGCCTTGATAAAGTCTCTCAGGGGACGAAACCCGTCGGCTAAGATAAGTTTTCCTGTTACCTTTTTGTATATATATATACATATATATATATATATATATATATATAACGATAAAAGAAAAATAGGAAACGTATATCAATACATATATATATATATATATATAGACAGAGAGAGAGAGAGAGAGAGAGAAGAGAGAGAGAGAGAGATTATTTAAAATTAATTATAATCCTTGGAAAAGAGTGCTCATTGTCGTAGATTATAGATATATGCAAAGGAAAAGGTTACAATTATTCCAACGAGAGAAAAATGTATATTTAAAAAAGGACAGAAACCGCAAACTGTTTGGTTATAATGTGGATTTGTTATAGTATATATATATACTATATATAGTATATATATTTTATTCTTCATATTTTTTCTACACAGGTTTCCTGTCTCGTGATCTTCTTCAGGCAAATTAAAGGAATCAATTTTTAAAGAAATCAAATTTCCTTATGCTCTTTAAATATTTCAGTGTTCATTTTCTGTATTTCTAGTGAGCCTGGATCTCGTTTTTTCGACTGTTAGCAAAATTGACTTTCTGCCGAAGTGGTAATAAAATCATTAGGTTTGGCGTTACTGGTGGTAATGGCGGATATTTTGATGATGTATATATACGAATTAATGTATTTATTTTGTTCAATCCGACATTTCTTATTACTTGAAAAGATATTATGGTTTGTACTTCGT